ACGATGGTGTGATCACTCACCTAGAGCCAGACATCCTGGAATGTGAAGTCAAGTGGGCCTTAGGAAGCATCACTACGAACAAAGCTACTGGAGGTGATGGAATTCCAGTTGAGCTATATCAAATTCTAAAAGATGATGCTGTGAAAGTGCTGCACTCAATATGTCAGCAAATTGGAAAACTCAGCTGTGGCCACATGACTGGAAAAGGTCAGTTTTCATTCCTATCCCAAAGAATGGTAATGCCAAAGAATGCTCAAACTACCACACAATTGCACTCATCTCACACACTAGTAAAGTAATGCTCAAAATTCTCCAAGCCAGGCTTCAGCAATATGTGAACCGTGAATTTCCATTCAAGCTGGTTTTAGAAATGGCAGAGGAACCGAAGATCAAATTGCCAACATCTGTTGGATCATCAAAGAAGCAAGAGAGTTTCAGAAAATCATCTATTTCTGCTTTATTGACTATGCCATAGCCTTTGACTGTGTGGACCACAATAAACTGTGGAAAATTCTGAAAGAGATGCGAATACCACACCATCTGACCTGCCTCTTGAGAAAACCTGTATACAGGTCAGGAAGCAACAGTTAGAACTGGGCATGGAAGAACAGACTGGTTCCAAATAAGGAAAGGAGTATGTTAAGGCTGTATATTGTCACCTTGCTTATTTAACTTATATGCAGAGTACATCATGAGAAATGCTGGGCCGGAGGAAGCACAAGCTGGAGTCAAGATTGCCGGGAGAAATATCAATAACCTCAGATTTTGAAATGGGAAGATCATAATTTGAAGCAAAATAATCTGAGAGTATGGGAAATTTTTAAATGACTAATTTATTATAAAATCAACTTAGTCGTTCTGGTTCAAGCATATGTGGTCTATTGCAGTGTGTGTGTGTGTGCATGCTAAGTTGTCTCAGTTGTATCCAACTCTATGCAACCCTATGGACTGTAGATTGCCAAGCTCCTCTGTCCATGGGATTCTCCAGGCAAGAATACTGGAGTGGGTTGCCATGTCCTCCTCCAGGGGATCTTTCCAACATACGTATGAGACCTGTGTCTCTTAAATCTCCAGCATCCATTGGCTGGTAGGCTTTTTACCACTAGCACCACCTGGGAAGCCCCTACTGTAGTGTATTTGTGGATAAAATAAAATTTCAATATCAACAATTTTTGAAGATATACTTCAAAATCTCTGTCTCTAAATATCCAACTTCTATTAAGCAGTTGAATAAACCAACTCCTATATTTTTGGCTAGATGCTGCTCTATCCTACCCAGGGCTGGACAGCTTCCTAATGTAAAGAGCACTGTGCTGTATGGAAACACATATCTCACTCTGGGATACTCCCAATGTATCTTGAAAACATATTTTATATTTATCACTATTTTTTCAGATAATTACCCCAAAGTAGCTTTATGAAATATATTTAATAAATTTTAAAGTAAATGTATGACATAATTGTTATATCAACAATGTATTCATTAGTAATAATGATATTTACTTAAATAAAAAATTAGTTTGAAATGTCATGCCTTTAGGTTTTCTAAAAAATAATGTACATCTGAGTCTCTTTTTCTGTTTTGCATATTGGGTTATTGTTACCATCTTTCTAAATTCCATATATATGTGTTAGTATACTGTAATGGTCTGTATCTTTCTGGCTTACTTCGCTCTGTATAATGGGCTCCAGTTTCATCCATCTCATTAGAACTGATTCAAATGAATTCTTTTTAATGGCTGAGTAATATTCCATGGTGTATATGTACCACAGCT